GCCAGTGGAAACTCACTATGGACTGTTATATGGAGCAGAGCAGAGTTGCAGTTATGTAAACTAGGGAGAAGGAATCCAAGCAAGAGTCACAGGGACCACAGCAGAAAGAAGAGTCCAGAACGAAGTTCAGTGGAGCACCGTCCTCCCCGCTTTCTGCCAACAGCCTGTGAGTTTCTGAGGAAAGTACACATCCCTCAGTCTGACGTCTCTGCTGTGAGATGGGAAATTTGTGTTTTCAAAATTATACACACAGTGTGCCTAATTCAAGGAATGTGTTTAGCTGCACCCAAGCAACCGGCTGTGTGGTTTTATCCCTGACTATGTGGAATACAATTGTTTTTGCTATGCTGTGTGGAGCCGGAGGAGTGGCTGGGAACCTGAGGTGGTTGGTGCCTGCCCTGTTCCTGGCAATTGCGTAAGAATGACACCTGAAAAAGTGGGTGACATATGTGAAAAGACGCCCCTTGAAGTCATCCGAGAGCCTTCCTGTTGTTTGCTTGGCACCTGGCTGCTCCAAGGCCATGGAGGTGAAGAGGGCAGAGGCCGCTACACAACAGGCCATGCAAGAGGATGAGAATGTGAAGTCACTAACCAAACATTGGTGATGAAATTAGCCAATATTGACTTGGCTTCAAAGGAGGGGGGGCAGGAGGGGGGGTGAAAGCTCTCCACAAATGGGAGAAAGTGGTTCCTGCTGCCTTCCTTTCCCCTCCCTTCCCATTGCACAATGGCTTGCTGCGGAGAGTCTCATAACACAAGTCATGTTAACCTTCCCCACCCATCAAGGCTCAGAGTTCATTGTCCTCCATGGGGGGCCCTGTGCAGATCTTTGGTGCTGGATAGAAATAAGGTCTCTTACTGGTGCAGCTTGACGGCAAATAGAGGAGGGAGTTAAATCCAGCTAAAAGAGAGTGAAACCCAAGCACTGCAAAGGGGAGAGAGGAGGAATGGGGGACCCCCCCACCTCCCTCCCTAGTCTATGAAGTGGCATCTCTTGATAAACAAAAGGCTGGAGATGCTGCTGTTGGGTCTGCAAGCAGGAACCTCCCTAGAGCTAGTCCTCATGTTTGGGGAGGAAGGAGGTGATGGAGGCAAACCCCCAGAAAGTGAACGAAACAGTCAGAGGATGCTGTGGTGACTGAAAGCCTGATGGGGCGGGGGGAATTCCACAAGGTAGACCTTGCAAAGAGCCCATTTGCCCCTTCAAGAGCAGAGAGGCAGCACGGGCCACACCCACTTGCCCAACTTCTGCTTCCTGCAGCAGCATCACCAGGGCCCCTGCCAAGCTGTAGGTACCTTCCTGGTAGGCAGAAGGGGAAGGGGAGAGTTTGTGGGTGCTGCTGGCTGTGCTGTGCGTAAAAAAAAACTCTGAGGATGGAGGAGACTGGATGGAGGATGGAGCCTGGGTAGGAAGGTGCCAGAGAGTCTGCTGCTGGCTTTGCACTTCTGGGGCCGAAGGAAAGGAGAGCATCTGGGATGGGTTACTGGAAGAGCTGCTGATGCATTCTGTGTGCATTGCGGGGAATCTTTCTCCCACGGTGCTAAATAGACCCCTCACCATTCTCTGTGCTCTGTCCAGGGATTCCGCCCCACAAAAGAGGTTTCAGGTGGTGTTACCCCCATAGCATGCCTGCCGCCCAGCCTTTCTGAGGGGAGCACTTTCTGGAGGCTTCTTGGGCAGCACTTGTTAGGTCCCAAATGTTTAGCAGTCCTCCCTCCCGCCTGCAGACTGCCAGCCTTACGTAACTCAGGCTATCAGTTGATGCAAAGTTGAACCAAAGGGCTCCTGTCGACTGAACCTTGCAAGGTGACAGGCAGAGTCATTGCTTGCATCAACTGGGAGGGAGGGAGGGAGACAGGGTGCCTTGCCAGGCACATTATGGTGGGGGAGAAATGTCTCAAGGCCAGCCACGCTCCGCTGCAGCTACAGCCTGCAGAACTAGGCAGATCATCTTGGCACCAGCAACGCTTCAGGGCGGGCAATGGGGAAAGGGGTCACGGAGCCTGACGCTTGAGGGTGAGCCTGATGGGGCCCTAGAATTGGCCTTGAGGGACAGGTGTTGACCTGGCACTGCCAGTCATCCTGTTCTCTGCCCTCAGTGTTGTTCTGGCTGTGGAAGAGACCTTGTGCCACTTGCAAAGCTGGGAGGGGGGCTCCTTGGCACAGAAACACTATTGGTGCCAGCCAGAGAAGGCAAAGCCTGTAATTAAGGGTGCCTTGCAATGCCAGCGACTATACCTTGACCAGCTATACTGACTGGTGGGCATTGTTTGCTCATGGGTGCTTTCTGAGCCAGGCTGTTCAGAAGCTACCAATTTCTTTCTCTCCCTCTAGGCCCGAGGTAGATCTGCCTCTTTGCTGGAGATTAATGGGGTCCCGTCAGGCATGTACCCTTTGATCTTCAGCTGCTGGGGGTGTGGTGGGGCTGGCTGCCTGTGGTTGGAGGAGGGCGGTAGGACTGTTGTTGCTATCGGGACACCTCCTCTTCGCTTGCTTGCGTGCGTGGATGTGGGTGGGGGGGAACATTTGGGACTCATTAGTGCTTTGCAACGTGGAGCTGGAGATGATGGGATGAATGCAGCTGATTGCATCAGGCCAAGACTGCCAGGCTAAGCCTTGGACCACTGAGGCACCGAGGAAATTAACACACCCCTCTCCACTGTGGGCACCCAGCCTCTGCAGGCCCAATATTCTCCAGCAATGAGGGTTGCAATCTGGCTGCCCCTGGTACTGGAGGGGTGGCATACTCACCTGACCTGCCAAGGCCAGACTGGGAGGGGCCCTACCCCAATTTTGTGCTCGCACTTCACAAACGGGATCGGGGAGTTGTGGGGGTGTAGATGGCAGTCGAAGGGTTAACATTCAGGCAGTGTTTGCTCCAGATGTTTGGAGCTAGACTATTACTGAGCTGGTGTGTCTGTGTGTCCTGATTGGGGGGGGGGGAGTGCAGCCCTCCCTATCAGCCAATCATTAAAGGTCTCCAAGCTGACACCCAGTTCTTGGCTGGGAATCTGCAGTGGGGCCCTGTTGTGCTCCTGCCCGCCTATCCCACATAAAAGGGCCCAGGGAAGGCTCTGGTCTCCCCATTCAGCAGCTCCAGAGCAGGCAGAGCGGCCTGCCAGGTTCACCAGAGGTGCCTCGTTCGCCCACCTTTGCCACCACACAAAGCTGCAGCTGCTGCCACATAGGTAAGAGGCTCCTTGAGGTGCCACCTGTAAGCCTGACGGGGTCTGAGCTGGTGTCCACGGTCCCTGGGATGGAGTCCTCTGCGGGGAACAAGCACCGCATGAAGGGCTGCAACAAAGTGGCGGAGGCAGAACTCAGGTGCTTTTCCTGGGACACCCCTGTCCCAGCATGTACACCCTCCGGAGACCAGGAGTGACCTGAGCAGACACAACAGAGAACCTGGAGGTGGACAATTGCAAAGGGACTGGCCTGGCCTCTTGGGCCAGCGGAGGCTCTGGAACAAGGAACCGAGGAATTCTGGCGTCTGTGGAGAGTGGTTTTGACGTCTGTGTAGCTTGTTCCAAGAGGAGCCAGGACTTGAGGTGGCTCGGGGTGGAGGGTGCAGGCTGGCTTTATCTTGGGAGGCAGGTGGCACCACACCTGCAATCAAATTTACTGCCATATTATGATTATTGTTTTATTCTGGGAGTACAGAGAGGAAATGACTTTTCAGCCAATGTGAAGAGGTTCCTTGGCCTTTTGCAGCTGGTACTGGAGACTTCTTAGTTGTGCCCCTGGCTCTCATGTGCCCTTCTTGCCCAGGGAGCCACCAGCTGCCTCTCACTCACCTTGCTGCTTCCTTTGCCACATCCCACCAGCTTTGCCTTCTCAGCTCTCTCCAGCTGTGCCAGATTCTTTGGAGCGAGACAGGGGGACAGAGGGAGGGAAGGGGGCAATGCAAGTCATATTTCTCCCAAGGCAAGTGCAGGGCTCCTTCCCTTCTTTCTCTCCTGGTCCAATGTTTGCTGGGTTTTCCCTCAGTGTTTTACAAGGACAGTGGCTGACTCAGCCCTTGGATCTTGCCCATAAGATCCCTTGGTGGTGATTCTCAGGTTCCGATGACACTGTTTGGGCTTCTCAAATGGCATTTGAAATCCCTGACAAATTACTCCCTTTTGTTCTTAAATCTGTTTCTATAATTAATCAATTTGACTTTTTAAAAAATCATGGCTTAAAGACAAACAGCCTAAAACACTTGACAAGATTTTTCATAGTAGACCAAAATTCATTTATACACCCCTTTTTGAGTTCTAACAGTGCTTCAACAATACTCTCTCACTCATCCTAACAGCAACCCTGAAAGGTAGGTCAGGAGAGAATGGCTTCCCTGAGGTCACCCAGTGAATTTATACTGGAGATGAACTCCAAAGTGAAGAATGGGGGTGTCCTCCGACCCCCAGCACTTAGGCACAACTAGACAAATATATTTTGAAAGAGAACTTGGTCACAGCCTGCCCAACACACACACACACACACACACACACACACACACAGTGGTGTCTTGTCATTCACATGCCAAGTACATGCTGTCCCTACCTCTGTGGGAAGGAGGGCATAGAGGGAAAACACATTTCCCTCATCCAAGTTGGCCTCCAGCCCAACTGCAGTTCTTGCCCCACTCCCCGCACACCTCTACCCCCTTTTACCAGCTTCCCTGCTGTGAGGCTTGATCAGGGTCCTGCTAGGGGGATGTGGCAGCTGACTTGGCTCCTCCTGCACTAAGAGCTGCCTGCTCAGGACTGGTGCTTCCACCCATGGACGTAGCTTGGATTTTTGTTGGGGAGGGGCAGAATCGACATGATTGGTCAGTTAAGTATTTCTATTGTTTTACTTTATCGGGGGGGAGGCAGCTCCCCCCACCGCTGCCCCTTGGCTGCGCCCATGTCTCCACCCAATTCTGCCATGGCAGTGGCCTTGAACAGACAGCAGCCTTGAAGAGAGGATTGTGTAATCATGGATGTCGGCCCACCTGCTCTTTGCACTTCCTTTCCAGCGATGGAATCCTACCTGATCCACGTGAATGGCAAGACGTCCCCGCCCTCCATCCTCGATGTCCATGTCAGCCTCAATGGCGGGAAGGGCCCTTCTCTGGGCAAGGGGAAAAACCGCAAGGCCCACTGGGCCGTCAGGGCTTCCGAAATGTCCAAGAGGACCTTCAACCCCATCCGAGCCATTGTGGACAGCATGAAGGTGGAGCCCAACCACCAGAAGCCCCTGATCTCTCTCTCCATAGGTGAGCAGGTGGGCTATGGAGGGACCACGAGGTGGGGGCTCCTGCCAATGCCCCACCCTCAAGTGACATGGATTCCCCTCATGTTTCCCCACAGGGGACCCAACTGTGTTTGGGAACCTCCCACCAGATGATGAGGTCATCCAAGCGATGAAGGAGGCCCTGGATTCTGGGCAGTATAATGGCTATGCCCCCTCAGTAGGTAAGTCCTGGGAGATGCTTTCAATGTATGCAGCCCCTATTTTGCTTTTGCTGCAAAAGTCTAACATGCCAACTCTTCTGGGAATCCTCTACACAGGTTACTTGTCTTGCCGGGAAGTGGTCGCAGGCTACTACACCTGCCCAGAAGCCCCCTTGGAAGCCCAGGTAACTGACCCTGACTGCTGCATGCATTGCCATCTGACCTTGATGCTGAGAAAATTAGCTTTTGCAAACCCTGGCCAGCACCTCCACAACTCACTGTACTGGAACTGGAGCTTGCCCAGATAGGATCCTGGGCCTGGAATCTTTATTAGGAACCCAGGAAGCTGCTTTATACTGAGTCAGACAACTGGTCCACCTAGCTTGGTATTGTTCACATTGACAGGCAACATTGTCTCTCCAGGGTTTCAGGCAGAGAGTCTCTCCCAGCCTAAGTTGAGCCATTGGGGATTCAACCTGGGACCTTCTGTATGCTAGCAGGGACCCCCCCCCCTTCATTCCAGGCTCCTGGCCAGGAATTTCCAGAAAGAGCCAGTGAAGAAACCTTTCCCTCCCCTTCTGTGCTTCTTCTGGGCTAGTCTTTTCTGGTGGTTGCTACCCACCAGGCTCACGGCTGCCTGCTCTGCTCCCTCTTCCTTTGCAGGACGTGATCCTGACAAGCGGCTGCAGTCAGGCCATTGAGCTGGCCCTGGCTGTGTTGGCCAACCCCGGGCAGAACATCCTGGTGCCACGGCCTGGTTTCTCCCTCTACAAAACCCTGGCTCAGTCCCTGGGCATCGAGGTCAAATTCTACAACCTCTTGGTAAGCTGGGGCAGGAGGTGGCGCAGCAGAGAGGCATGGCACAAGCAGGAAGAAAAGCAGGAGCTTCCTTGCAGGGCTCTGCCTGCCTCTCCACAGAGCTCAGCTATAAAGAAGGGCTGCCTGTTGACGTGGGTTCAAGCCCTGGGGACCTGTTCTCCATCTCCCCTTCTTTAGACTGGGCCCAAACCCAGGCTGGGAGGTGTTGCAGGGCTCTTGGAAGAGAAAAGGGGGGTCAGTATCCTGACCAGTCGACAGTTGCTCCAACCGCCATCCCTTTTCACCTGCCCAGGACCTCCGGCCCACCCTGACCCTGGCAGGAAGCCTGGTTCATGGGTACCAGGCTGAGGTCCTGAAGTGGGGGCATTCCTCACCTCTTCCTCCCTTTTCTTCTCCCTGCAGCCAGAGAAATCATGGGAAATTGACCTGAAGCAAATGGAGTCGCTGGTGGATGACAAGACAGCTTGCTTGATTGTGAACAACCCATCTAACCCCTGTGGCTCCGTTTTCAGCAAAAGCCACCTCCAGAAGATCCTGGCAGGTGAGGATCCCCCACCGTGTGTGTGTGTGTGTGTGTGTGTGTGTGTGTGTGTGTTTATCCCAGGCCTTGCTCTGGGGAAGAAAGAAGGAAACAGAGTCAGGGGGCTGACTAGATTTCTTTCTGTCTGTCTCTCTTAGTTGCCTCCAGGCAGTGTGTCCCCATCTTGGCTGATGAGATCTACGCTGACATGGTGAGTGAGGCAGAAGCACCCCTGGCCCCTCGGAAGGCCAAGCACAGCAGCTGGAACCCTTCTTCCCGGGAGAAGCTCCCTCCCATCTTCTGACACATGGCTGGGAAAGCAGGGAGTGGGGTGGGTCTGCCTGAGGTGGCTTGGTCTTCTCCGCAATCACAGCCAGCTGCACTAGCATCCCCCTTACCTGCTTCACATGCCCATTAGGTGTTTCTATCACTACTTACTCTGGTATTCCTCCTTCTGCACTCCCCCCCCTAGGTGTTTGAAGACTGCAAATATGAGTCCCTAGCAAAGCTCAGCACCAACGTGCCTATCCTCTCATGTGGAGGCCTCGCCAAGCGGTGGCTGGTGCCTGGCTGGAGAATGGGCTGGATTCTCATACATGATCGCAGGGAGATCTTTGGGAAGGAGGTAAGTTGGCAGAACTCGGTGCTGCCCTGACTTTCTGCACCTGGTCCAGGAGCTGGTGTGATGGAGGAAAAGAGTTCATGCCCCCCACCGCTTCACAGCCACCCTCTGAGCCTGATTCATGTAGCCTTTGTGCCCCAGTGCCCACTGTCTGTGCTAGGATGTCAAGGAGGCAGTGTTCCCTGCCTCCTGGGTCTGGTCAGTGAAAGGCTGCCCGATGCCCCCTACTCCAAATGGGCTCTGAACAGGAACAAGTTGGTTTGAGTAGCAGCTGCTTCTTGAGAGGGCCAGGAGATCCCTCCCCCACTTCCTGTGCCCTCTACACCGGTGCGAGTTCTGCACGGGTTCCCTCCATAGCACCCACGGTAGGATGCAGATTCTTCCCAGCTCTGCCTTTGGTTTGGGGGCACACTGAGCCACAAGAGGGCTCTTGCTGTGACTGCGGAATTTCACTCTCTTAGATCAACTTGGGGATCAGGTCGTGCCCCTCCCTACTGAGCTCTCTCTCCCCTGTGCATCTTTTAGATCAGAGACGGCCTCCTGAGGCTGAGCCAGAGGATTCTGGGCCCCTGCACAGTTGTCCAGGGAGCTCTCAGCCGCATCCTTCGCCAGACATCCCCGGAATTCTACCACAACACCCTCAGCTTTCTCAAGGTACATCTCTTCTCTTTGAAAGGAAAGGGAGAAAAGAAATAGGAACAACAAACACATAAGTAAAAGCAGGACTAGACCAAAAGAACTATTAAAAACAGAGTGGGTGGGGAGCACCAGGGAATGCTCAAGCTTCACAAAACCCCTCTTGCTTATCTCTCCCAACTCCTTGGAAGGCAACAGGGATGCTCCCCAACCCATAAACACTGCTTGGGTGGTGGGAGTGGACAATGTGACTCCTCTCACCCTGGGGAGCTGCACTGGACTGGAGGGGGCAAGGAGGTGCTCAGCACAGCACCCACAGCCCCTCCCTGTTTAGCCCTTTGGACCTGATTGGTTCATTTAATAATCCAGCTTGGCATGAATTGGTCAGTGAAACTGTTACAGTTAAATGAATGTGCATATTAATGAAATCTCTGCATAGATTCCTTTTTGAGATTCCATTAATATGCTAGTTCGGAAGGATGGACCTCAGCTCAATGGTAGAGCAATCTGCTTTGCACACAGAAAGTCTGAGGTTCTACATCTCCAGGCAGAGCTTGGTGAGACTCTCTGTCTAAAACCCTGTAGGGCTGCTGCCTGTCCGTGCAGGCAATACTGAGCTGGATGGGCCAATGGTATAAGGCAGTTTCCTATGCCCTTGTGAATGTTAAGCGTCCCTATTTTATATTCATCCAATGTAGTAATATATACTCTCAACTATTCCCCACCACATAGCACATCAGAGCCAAACACTGTGTCAAAAGCTTTGCTCTTTTCAGCACTGGGAAGACCCAATATTCACGGCAGTGAGCATGGAAATAAATGACAGCTGCGGGATGGGGGGGCACTCAGTGGAATGCACACACCTGGAGCACTGGGAAAATAACACAGTGCAAGTGTGGACAGGGCTGGCAAGCAGGTCACTTTTTTGTGGTCCCATCAGTTCCCAGGGTGGGCAGGTTTTAATTCATCAACAATGTACCCTTTTAAGCCTTTATCCATGGTGAACGTGTTGGGTGGTCCCAGCGGGGACCCTGGGATGCTTGTGCCTGCAATCTGACCTGACTCCTCCTCCTTCCTCCTTCCCTTTGCAGTCCAATGCTGACCTCTGCTATGATGCCCTTTCCACTGTCTGTGGCTTGCAGCCTGTCCGGCCGTCGGGGGCCATGTACCTCATGGTGAGTGGCTTCCTGTCACTTGCAGAGCTTTGCCCCTGAGATGGGCAAATGGCAGGCAGATCATCCCTAACTCTGTGTTTCCTCCTCTTCCTTGCTGCAGGTGGGCATTCAGATGGAACACTTTCCAGAGTTTGAGAATGATGTGGAGTTCACAGAGAGGCTCATTGCTGAGCAGTCCGTCTTCTGTCTGCCGGCCACGGTGAGCATCTTTATTCGCAAGAGAGTTATGGGAGGCCCTGGGAGTTACTGGAGCCCCGGGAGCTGTACTTGGCAGAGAAGAGGTACTCGGCTCGGCTCCACTTTCCCTGGGCCTCTGCTTCTCAGCTGGCCCCCACCTGCCTTTCCTCTCCTTTAGCTAGTCTTTCTTCTTGATGCTTGTGATTGGCAAGGCACTCCCACCATGCATGGCATGAGGGGACATTGCTTGCATTTCACAATCTCAGTGCCAGCTGGCTCAGCGCCCACACCCCTGGCTGCTGAACAATGGCACCTTGTGAGGTGCTGTGAGGCTCCCTTCCCCAGATCCCCAGCCGCTTGCTGCCTCCTGCTACGTGGGCCTTGGAGAATGGCCATTGCACTTGCCGGCAGCACCATTCCTTGAGACAAGCCTGCTGGATCAGGCCAATAGCCCATCTGGTTCTGCATCCTGTTCTCACAGTGGCTGACCAGAAGTCTGTGAGAAACAGACAAGCTGGTTTCTCAGCACTCCTTGTGTGGAACAACAAGCAAGGCAGAGACCCTCCACAGTGGTGTCACCACATTGCTTGCCCTTGGTTGACTCTACACTGACTAGCAGCAGCTCTCCCAAATCTCCCTTGGAGAGAGTGTCCCCTTGCCCAGACTTTTCCATTGGGAAAGGCAGGGAGATCAGCCAGGAATATTCTGCATGCAAAGCAGGAGGTGTTGACCCTCCCCTTAACATGCCCACCCCAAACTCCCACACATGTATCCTACGCGGTCTTGGTTTCAGAGTCTGGTGTGTGCAGGATCTCCAAGGCACCAGAGATGGTCCTTCGAGGCTCTCTCGCCACTCCTTAGGGAGTCAGCCTTGTAAAGGATCCACATGGTGGCTCCTGGCCCCTGATGCCATCTCAATGGCCCTCTTCTGCTTCTTCTGACAGTGCTTTGAGTACCCCAACTTCTTCCGTGTGGTGATCACAGTGCCCGAGGAGATGATGGTGGAGGCCTGTCGGCGCATTCAGCAATTCTGCGAGAGGCACTATGAAGGCGCTGAAGGATCCCAGGACCTGGAATGTGACAAGTAGCTGAGGGTCCCTGCCTGCCCGCCCGCCCTCCTGCCTGCCTGCCTCTACTCCTCCTGCAGGGAGTTGGGCTCACAGGGCCTGTGCCTCACCAGCCCCTGTCCACTGGCTCAACACCACTTCTGTGTGCCACAGCCTCTGAAGCCCCCATACAACCATGACACTTGCCTGGAGGTAGATCCCCACAGAGACACTCCTCCCCTGCAGGCCCCCTCCTGCCTGTGCCCAGGGCAGCCAAAGAACTCCAGCAGGCGCTGCTGGCACTGGGTGCTCCTGGCAGCCTCTGCAGTGGTGTGGTGTTGCTGGAGCCTCCCAGATGCCCTTCAGAAAGACCTGCCAGCCCTCCCAACCTGTCCTTCTGCAGAGACCGTGCTGAGTCCTGGGCTGGCACAGGCCACCGTGGGCACCTGTCTCCCCCTTTCCCCCACCCATGTCCTCCTGTGCCTGTTTGACGTTCATAAGTTATTATACCTTTTGTATGAATAAATGCATGAAAAATACCTGGCCTTGTGACAAGATCTGGCTTTCTTTCCTCTGTGTGTCAAACTCTCTTCCAGCAGCAGCAGCCGCTGCTGCAAGCAAAGCAAAGCAAAGGCCAGGGGAAGACTCAGGGAGGCCTGGGCACTGCAGGAGTTCTTGGGACTCCTGACCTGATATGGAGTCCCAGCAGAAGTAACACCTGCTTCTCGCTTTTCCATTTTAGCCAAGGGCAGGGTGGAAGGAAGAAGGGAGGAAGCCCCAGAGACATGCCCATCTCTTCTTCTGAGTGTCCTTCACACCTTCAGACCTATAACCTGCAATGTGGCTTAATAATAGTTTCCTCTTCCCAGAAAACTCTGAGAACCGTGGCTCTGTGAAGGGAATAGGTGTCATCTAACCAGGGGTGGAGGAAGGGGGGCAGTGGGGGCGGGGCGCCCCAGGTGTCACCACTGAGGGGGGTGACAAAATGCCAGGCACCACTCACCGCAGGGCCTGCAGCGCGCCTGAGCCACACGTCTCTCCTGAGAGTGACGTGGTGGCTTGGGCACCTGCAGGCTCCGAGCTGCCCCAAATGGTCCGCCCGCTGCCTCCCCCTCAGCTGTAGGGCAGCTGAGTGGGAGGAGGCAGGCAGACTCCTCGGAGGCCCCGCAGAGCATCCTGCCCCAGCTGCCCTGCCCCGCGGGTGGCTGGCCCTGCCTCTAGGCGCAGGGCACGCGCGCTGCCCCAGGCGCCTGATCAGCTTGCTTCGCCGCTGTACCTAACAAGTCTCAATACCCTTGACAAACTAGATTGTTTCCTGGAAGCCACGACTGTTTAAATTGGCATGATACTACTTTTAATGTATAGGAGCAGATGAGAAGTATAGTGTACAACAAGATATACCAGCACTGAGCAGTTAAAATAAACAAAGGTAGTGCCAGAAAGGCAAATAAAAAGTCATTCACCAGGTGTCAAGAGTTTCCTGAGGGAGAGCAGTCCCATTTCAGGGGTCCAAACATAGTGAAAGGTCCTTTCCTGGCCATCTGTACTTCACTCCAAAATGAGGGGGTGCTTTGGGGCAGCACAGCTGTTGGTACTGCAGTAGTATTAGCCCTGCAGTAGTATTAGCCCTGTGGGTTAAACCACAGAGCCTAGGACTTGCCGATCAGAAGGTCGGCAGTTCGAATCCCCGCAATGGGGTGAGCTCCCGTTGCTCGGTCCCTGCTCCTGCCCACCTAGCAGTTCGAAAGTGCAAGTAGATAAACAGGTACCGCTCCAGCAGGAAGGTAAACAGTGTTTCCGTGTGCTGCTCTGGCTCGCCAGAAGCGGCTTAGTCATGCTGGCCCCATGCCCCAGAAGCTGTACGCCGGCTCCCTCGGCCAATAAAGTGAGATGAGCACCTCAGCCCCAGAGTTGGTCACGACTGGACCTAATGGTCAGGGGTCCCTTTACCTTTATTAGCCCTGCAACCTAGCATGGGCAGGTTTGCCTCTCTGGAGATGGGGATATTATTATATTTAATCAATTATTATGGGAAAGTTAATCTAAAGCAGAATGCAAACTGGTCTAGTGTAATCGTTTTCTCAGTGAAATGGGCCTACAATGGCAAAAAAAGGAGGTTGGGTGGAATCTCTTGTGTTGACTGAGCACCCGTTTCCAGCAGTGAACAGCCAAATTGAGCAGGACTTAATCTCCACTCACCAGCTGATTCAGGAAATGGTTTGCACTGTAACCTCCTGCTAAAACAGAGGCCTCCCCCCTGCCCTGTTTTAGCAGAAGTTTCTATGCAAACTTGCATAGGATCCCCTGCTAAAAACTATGGCAACCCCCTCTTTTTTAGCAGGCAGTTCTGAGACACACCCATTCCTGAATCAGGAAAGTGTGTGTATCAGAATCTCGTATTGAAACGGATGGATTTTTAAACCATCATTTTAGCGGGGGATCTATAGTTACACCTGCTAGGATGAGAAAAGAAACCATCTCTTTTGGAAGCACTTTGATATCCAGATTTTGGGACTTCAAAGTACCTTGCACATGACTTTGTTGTACCATCATGTGATTGACAAGTTGGTGCTCCCACCCCACCAAATTTGGCCTGTGAGGCTGATCTGGATAAGGATCCAGCCCATGGAGTCACAAAGGTTCCCCTTCCTCCCGCTAATAAAAAGGTTAAGGGATCTTTGCATTTTCCCCTCTCTGCATTTGTTTCACAGTGACATAGGAAGCTGCCTTGTACACAGTGTCTAGCTCAGTTGTCTACACTGACTGAGTGTGGCTCTCCAGGGTTTCAAAACGAGGACATTCCCAGCCATACCTGGCGATGCTACTGGGGAAGGTGTGTTGTGTTTGAATGTGGCACAGCTTCTGCATGCCAAGCAGCTGCTCTGCCACAGAGCTACAGTCTTTCCTCCTAAGAGAAACTTCCTGTTTAAAAGAAGACAATATTCTTACAAAAGGTCATATTTTACTGACAGCTGTAAACACTGAGTCAGTTTATAACTCTTTATGTGCTTTTTTTATATGTTGACGTATTTTATTCAGGGGCTCTGGTGGCACTCCCTGGCAAATAACATATAACTTGGCTCCATCAAACATTAGCAGGAATCTCTCTTAAGCCCTGGCACAGGACCTTCCCACCGGCATGGCACAGAGGCTGCTCTTCTCCTGCTTCTTCCAGCACTGCAAAGCAGCCCAGTCCAATTGCACTGCGTTCCTCTCCATTCCAAAATTTCTGGCTCTCTAGAGTCACTTCTGGGCTGTTCTTCTGCCTCTCCTGGCCCTTGGATGGCAAGATAAAATTCCTGGGTAAACAACCAAGGGCCCGTGCATATCCTGTCTGGTGCTGGGTGAGATGAGGGCTGATTTGGGCCAGAGGGAAGAGCCCCGCCCTGGTAGGCAACCTCCTTGGGATGCAGCAGTGGCGTACCACATGTTGCCAGCGCTTGGGGCAAGGCAAGAATGACTCCTCCTAACCTCATTGTGGGCATCACACTGGAGGCAACAAGTGGACTTCATTTGCTGTGCTCCTACGGTGGCCGCTCCTTGCAGAGGTCGTTTGGATGGTAGCCACGTTTGCCCTCTCAGCTCAGCAAGGTCCGGTGGGAGTGGTGGCTGATGCTTCTTGGCAGGCTTGGTGGCGTCCCAGCAGTGCTGAAGCCACAACTGCAGCAGGTCTAGGAGGAGGGTGAAGGAGAGGAGGCTGAGGTGCCAAACGCAGCCCTTCTCCATCCGCCGCCTCTTGATCATGCAGCGTGAGGACAAGCACCAGCGGGTTCCAGGCGAATGGGTGGCTCTTCTCTCTGCATTCCCACTGCAGGGTACATGCCTCGTCCAAAGGTACTGGGCGTGGCTCACCTCTTCACAGGTCTGGAGGGTGGCAGCCACACAGCCTTGGCAAGGAAGCCTGTTGTAGGGGAGCTGGGCTGCTCCCCCTCAGAATTCTGCGCCCAGGGCCATGGCCACCGTCGCCCCCCACATGATGCCACTGGGATGCAGTGAGATTCTGGTTTCACTTGAGGGCATCAAGAAGGGGAGCACTGTGGGAGCTTTTCCATTGTAATGTACTGAGCTGAATCCTAGAACAATAGGATCCAGAATGCAGCAGTCTGATTGGTCCACAGGAGCCACCCAATCCAGCTCCAGGTGGAAGTGAATCAGCAACCTGATTGGCCTGCAGGAGCCGCCAATCAGGCTTCTGGAGGAGGTGAATTCGCCACCTGATTGGCCTACAGGAGCAGCCTGGAATCAGCCAATCACACGGGGCCCATTGTGTAAATAATGTATATATAGCTAGACGTTTTGGGGGGAGTTTCATTCATTGCTACTATGAGCTGAATAAAGAGCATGAAATTCACACTTGACTCCGAGTGCATTTCATCCACCATCCATGAACTTGCCCAGAGAAGCTTCCCCTTACGGACAGCTCTCCCCCAAGCAGCAGCCGTTGAAGATTTCATTCATTCTCCTCCCACCAATTTGCTTGTATTTGGGTCCCTAGCTTTGCGCTAATCTCTTTTTCTGTCATTTGATCCAAGAAGTTAATCTTCCTGTACTTTGTGTTCACAAAGCCAGTAACGTCAGATAATCTGTTTCGCAAATATCACAGTTAGAGGAGGAATTTTGTCAAGCATCAGGACTGGAAGAAAACCATTGGGTCATTTTGTCCAAGGCCCCACCATGAGCTCACCCCACTGTGAGCTCGTCCACACTTCTGCTTGCTCCACCGCTTATCTCTAGGGAAACCTGTTCTTTACCACTGAATCAGAGCAAATGGCAACTGGGTTTTCTTCAGGTTGATGTTTGCTCCGATTCAGCTCCAAAACAGTGGGTTTTCTCAGGGAAAGCAGCAGGGCAAATAGAAAAATACTCAGACCTGTGCCTAGAAAGCATGGGCCTAGTGGAAAACCTAGGGCAAGGGTGGGAAGTGTATACAAAAGCATGGGAGATCTTGGATACCTCTGTTCTTCCAGACTTCTGTTTTTGGGAACATAGATCCCAGGATCCAGTAATTAATCTGGCTGGTCTGCGACTCACCAAGCTGACCACCACCAGGGCCCTGACGTGGCTCAATGGGCTAACTGATTGGGAAAGCTCTGGGAATTTTACCTATATCTCCCTGCAGGGAAATAGTATGGTGGACTATATTCTGATACCCACTAATTTGATGCCCTACGTGGCTGAGTTTTACATAGGTGATCCTATGCTCAGTGACCATCTCCCTCTACATTGCAAACTTGTCTTTCCGTTGAGGAAGTCAGAACAGTTAATTAATCCATCCCCCCAGGAACCAAGTCTCCAGCACGCAAGGATACGAGTTAACGAGCATACACTATCTCTTTTCCACAGCTTGGTGAATTCTGACCATGTGATTCATTTGTTTTCAGAGGAGAAAGGTGAACTTTCCTGTGTTGTTGGAGTCACTCAGTTTGAGGAATTTATTGACACTCTAACAACTGAACTGTCTCATTTACACTCACACAGGCCACCTAAGAAGAGGGGGATTGACGATTGGACTGACAAAGAAATCATAGCAATTAAAACC